TTTTATTTATTTATTTGAGAGAATGAGAGAGAGAGAGAGAGCATGAGAGGGAGGAGGGTCAGAGGGAGAAGCAGACTCCCCGCCGAGCAGGGAGCCTGATGCGGGACTCGATCCCGGGACTCCAGGATCATGACCTGAGCCGAAGGCAGTCGCTTAACCAACTGAGCCACCCAGGCGCCCCTCTTGTCTTTGTTTTAAAGTCTATTTTGTCTGATATAAGAATTGCTACCCTGTGCTTTTCTTTTCCTTGCTTCCATCTGCATGGAAAATTTCTACCCTTCACTTTCAGTCTGTATGTATCTTTAGGTCTGAAGTGAGTCTCTTGTAGGTGCCATATAGATGGGTCTTTTTTTTTTTTTTTAATCAGTTACCCTAAGTCTTTTGATTGAAGCACTTAGTCCATTTACATTTAAAGCAGTCTTTGAAAGGTATGTAATTATTGCCATTTGGTTGTTTTCTGGTTGTTTCATATTTCTTCTCTGTTCCTTTCTTCTTCTGTTCTTCCCTTGTGGTTTGATGGCCTTCTTTAGTGCTATGCTTGGATTCTTTTCTCTTTATTTTTTGTATATTTATTATATTTGTGGTTACCATTGGGCTCATATATAACACCCTACTGTCTATAGCAGCAGTCTATATTAACTTCATGATCTCTTAAGTTTTAACACATTCTAAAAGCATTAAATTTTTACTCCTCCTCCTTCATCCTCTAATCTGCTGTTGATTCCCTCTAGTGTATACTTCATTTCAGTTACTGTACACTTCAGTTCTGACTAGTTCTTTTTTATCTCTTTGTTGAAAAGTTCTCAGTGAATTCATTCACTTTTTTCTCAAGTCTGGTATCTTTTTTTTTTTTTTTTTTTAAGATTTTTATTTTTTATTTGAGAGAGAGTGTGCATGCATGCACAAGTAGGGGGAGGGGAGAGGGAGACTGCCCACTGAGCAGGGAGCCTGATGTGGGGTTTAATCCCAGGACCCTGAGCCAAAGGCAGGCACTTAACAGACTGAGCTATCCAGATACCCCAAGTCTGGTGAGTATCTTTATGATGATTACTTTGAGCTCATCTCCATTTTGTTTAGCTCTTCTGTGGTTTTATCTTGTTCTTTCATTTGGTACATATTCCTCTGTCTCCTCATTTTGTCTAACTCTCTGTTTCTATGTATTAGGTAAGTCAGTTACATCTCCTGGTTTTGAAATAAGTGGCCTTGTGTACAAGAAGTCCCTTTAGCACAATACCTCCTGGTCACCAGAACAAGGTGCTCCAGGTGTGTCCCTTGTGTGGGCTGTGTACACCTTCCTGTTGTGGCTGAACTGTGAATGCTGTGGACATGCTGGTGAGTGAAGATGGCCTTCAGCCCATTTGGCCATGATGACCTGCTTCTGTGGGCAGACTGGGCAGGGTTTGTTCCCCATGTTTTTAAGAGGTCTGGCTGAAACTGCCATGGCTTGCTCGTGGGTAGGGGCCAGCACACAGCCTAGCTGTCTGCCATTAGCGTCTGCAACAGCAGCAGGCACACTGCAGGCAGGCCTTGCTCCCCATGTAGCCAGCTAAAAGGCCTGGCTAAGGGTGTGTGGGGTTAAACGTTCCCCTCCCCAGGGCATGAGTCACTTTGGAGGGATGCCTGTAGAACTCAGTGTGTTCAGTGGGGCAAATCTGCAGGGAAACCCTGGGGTCAGGTATGTGGTGCTAGCAAGGTAGATGGAGAGTGTCAAAACTGGCTTCTGCAAGCATCCAGCTATCTAGCCTGGGGAGGGCAAGAAAAACAGCACCTGCAAACAGTTTTGTTCCTGGAGAAATCTGCAGATCCCTGCCCCACCAGTACAGGTCCTAAGATTAGTCAATAAATATCCTTCATGTATACCTCAAATACTTTTCAAACTGCTGCTGCTATGCTGTGTTTTAGGCCAAGTTAGTGTGTGGGCTTTCTGAGGGCGGGAACTTGGTTTCCTATCACCCACTAGCTCTCCTGGGGTTAAGCCCCACTGATTTTCAAAGCCAGACATTATAAGGACCATCTTCCCAGTGAAGGTCCCCAGGGCTGGGGGTGACTGGTATGGGGGTCTGATCTCCTTGCTCCTCTGCGCCTGTGATGTCCCTCCTGTGTTCCCAACCATATCTTCACTCCTTTTACCCTTTTTGATGTAGCTGCCTCTCTATGACTAGCTGTGGAATACTGTTCTGGAAGTCTTGAGGTCATTTTTAAAATTAGTGGCAATAGATACAGTTGCTGCTTTGGTCTGTCTGTGGGACACGGTGAGTTCAGGATCCTATTTGGCCCTCAGCTCTGCTCTTACACTTTCATTTATTTTTTATTTTTTTTAAAGATTTTATTTATTTGAGAGAGAGAGAGAATGAGAGACAGAGAGCATGAGAGGGAGGAGGGTCAGAGGGAGAAGCAGACTCCCTG